AAGCTTGGAGACTATCAGTGTGGTCCCCATGCGGCCCATTGACCCCTAGGCATTTATAGAGCGTTTCTTAGGTGTGTCACATACAGATAGCAGGAGGCAGTGATTGCTAAATAAACAGGGGCCGCTGTTTGTAGGACTGGGAGAGATCCCCCATAGCAGGAAAGACCTCCTGGGTAGCAGGAAAGAAAGCTGAAGGGAGGCACTGGAACTGGAACTTGACAGAACAGAGAGTGAGCCAGGCAGGGTGAGAGCCAGAGAGAGAACAAGCAGGCAAGGCTCCAGCAAATGCAAACTCTGCGGCAGGGATGGGTTGCCTTGGGCAAAACACTGCACAAGACTTGTCTTTCCGTAGGAAGCCTTCAGGCGTGAGGCGCAGACGACATTGGACACTCATACACGCATGGCAAACAGGAACTAATGGTTACTGAGCACTTCACTGGTGGCCAGTGCGTGAGGACTCTCATTGGGTCCTCACATCATCTCCACAAGGCGGGAAGTTACATTTCTTATAAGGTATTGGGAAGCTCAGACAGGTGAAGGCGATTGGCAAAGGGCCCCAGCGAGCCAGAGACCACATTCATCGCTCAAGTATTCTGTCTCAGTACGCAGGATAACAGGTGAGACACTGCCACAGTTGTCACGGGGCAGAGGGAAAAGTGTAGTTGTGGCTTAAAGGCAGTCAGAGAGCATTGTGGACAGTTCTACCGAATAAAGTCATCCTTAGGGTCATACCTCACCCTCTGGTGTTTCTTCCTGTGAAAAGCAGGATCCCCGAGAGAAGGCAAAGTCTTCCCTGCGCAGAGGTGGAAAGCAGTGCCACCTATTGGTGAAATAGAGTATGTTTAGTGCCGGACTTGGGAAAGAACGGACCACCCAAGCAGTGCTTAAAAACCAACCGTCCACGGGGTGCAGCGCCTACAGCATTGCACTTAGATGTGCAAGGTGCTAGGATGGGGAACATTGCAGGAGGAGTCTGATGGAGGAAGGAGGACTCTGTCTGGCATGGTGGTGGAGGTGAGTTGGGAGTCTGGGTAGCAGCCTACTGTCCTCCCTGGTGGCAGGGTGTGGAAGAAGTGAGGGGTGTGGGTTGACTTGAAAAGCCATGTAGGCACCATCTGAGTGGAGGCAAAATCTGAGGAAGCGAGGACTTGAAGAGGAAAACAGCATTTTTGCTTTACCCAATGGCGTGGGAGCACACTGTTCCCTGCAGTGCCTTGTAGGAGGCAAAAGTGGCCACCGGGAGAGAAATGGCAGAACAGGGCATTTTAACCCACAGAAAGGAAAGCCCCATGGTCACGAACAAAAACAAGAAGTGTGTTGTTCAGGTTCGGATTTGGAAAGGCCCAGAGGGGTCTGAAGAGAGCCACAAAATCCAAGGTGTAGAATGTTCTACACAGGGTGCCACATTCTATCAGAAGATGCAAGTCTATAATGTGGGCACCATGTTTGCTTGTCTGTGCCTTCGGGAGCTGACACATGCATAAGAAATAATTGAGATGATGAGGGAGAGGGCAGGAGACAGGCAAGAGGGTAACCGTTCATCTCACACTGTATCTGATGGCGATTTCTGGTCCTATTTTTTATTTTTTGAGACATGACTTCACTGTGAAGCCCAGGATGGCTCTGAAATCAGAACAACTTTGTTGTTCCAGCCTCTTGGCTCTGAGATTGTATCTCATGTTTTTTATTCTGACTTTCAAAATTAAGTGTATATATCCCATATTCAACTTAGTAGGTTTTTCTTTTTTAATTTATGAATGCTTACAGGGATGAATGTTTGTGTACCACATGTGTGCAGTGCCCATGGAGGCCAGAAGAGGGCGTTGGATCCTCTTGAACTGGAGTTATAGATGGTTGTGAGCCACCATATGAGCATGGATCCTCTGGAGCAGCAGCCAGTGCTCTTAGCCACGGAGCCATCTCTTCAGCCCCTGAACTCAGTGGTTTTAAAAATGGGAAGCAATCCAAAAGGAAAATGGAATTGTCATCCCTTTGCTGCTCAGCCCTGGCTTTTCCTTGTAGACCCTTGCTTCTCTGGGTCAAGAGGGGCAGAGAAATTTTGAAGACTCATGTGTGGCTCAGAGTGCTAGCCTTAGAGAACTGGAAGGGACCTTTTATGGGGAGAACAGGATGCCTTGGTAACCTGGCATGTTGAAGGTAATTTATTTCTCCAGCGACTGACGGTAAAATGGGCACATCTCCTTCCTCCAATCCCTAATGTCTGAGATTGACAGCAGGATTCCTAAGTGTTAGTGCTTCATCACATCTCACGATGAATCTCCACATAAAGTACCAAGTAGACTGGGCATTTGCTCACCCACGGGGTCACCTTTCTCAGTCTTGACTGTGTGGTTCTGGCTTAGCTGCCACACCCTGCTCTTGCTCCTTGTGGCCACTAAATTATTTTGTTTGATTTTCTTCAAGTTTGCCCATACTTTTATGTGTTTTCCTGAGCTATGTTGGCACATGGGCATATCTGGCACCCAGGGCAAAGCAGCCTCACCCATTCATTACTGTCTTTGATTTCTACAGAGTAAATTCTCTCACTACTTGATTTCAAACTACCAACAACCTAAACGTTGGCTCACAGGTTAGCATAATTGGCACTCAGACACGGGAAGAGTGGACCCCAAAACATCTCTGACTTTTGACTTTAGTTGCCCTGTCTGAGGGATCTATTTGTTCTTCTGTACTAGGATTCTGTCCCCCATGGCCACAGCCAGTTCTGTACCTTGCCCATGTCTATCCAGGTCTCACTAGTCAAATCGACCTCACTTTTTAGTGGCTGAATAGTTTCCCACGGATTAACTCACCTACTGGTTGATTTGTTTACTCTGCTGAATGCCATCGGTCTTTTGGTATTGGAATTTTACAATGATTATTTGTATGCTGTGTTAAATAGGTACATATATCATGGTAGAGGCAGGGTTTCTGGGTTAGATCATATATGTAAAACTTTTGAGTAAGTGTGGCCATCTGTAGAGATTCTACCAACTTGTCACCAAGAAAGAGTGAGTGAAGATACCTTTCCCATACTCTCCCAACACTTCCTAGATGTTCACCATTTAAAACAACCAGATAAAGTGAATTCTGACCAAGGATTCTTCCATCCCTACATTGGGGACATTATAATTTGTCTTGTAGGTAAGATAAATCCACATGTTGGAGGGGTCCAGAGTGAGGGAGAAAGTTGTATCAAAAACACTTTTAAGTCTAATTCAGCAACTAACTTGGAAGGTTTCTGATTTGGGAGCAATATTTCCACCCTACCTGCAAGACAGAGAGAATTAAATTGATTAATTAATGTAGAAAACCCCTGAGTTTCCAGGGTAGCAGTCTGGGTTAGGAGAGATAGAGAAATGGGGGCCTATGTTTCTAGACCTGACTTATGAATGGATGATTTCCATCTCTAACATCAATCATCAATGGATGGTTCTTGTCTCTAATATCAATCATCAGTGGATGGTTCCAGTTTCTAACATCATCAGTGAATGGCTCCTGTCTCTAAGAACATTAATGGATGGCTCCCATCTCTAACATCATCAGTGGATGGTTCCCATCTCTAACATCATCAGTGGATGGTTCCCGTCTCTAACATCATCAGTGGATGGTTCCCGTCTCTAACATCATCAGTGGATGGTTCCCGTCTCTAACATCATCAGTGGATGGTTCCCATCTCTAATATCACCAGTGGATGGTTCCCGTCTCTAACATCATCAGTGGATGGTTCCCATCTCTAATATCACCAGTGGATGGTTTCCATCATCTCTAGCAGAACAAACAGATAAGCTTATATCAGTGCACATCTTTCGTACTTGGGGATTTTTGTTTCTCCAGAGAAGAAACACGTTTCAGAGATGAGAATTCAATTTCTTTTCTCTCTATGTGTGTATACATGCATATGTACATGGGTGTCAGAGGTTGATATCTTGTCTTCCTAATCACTCTCCACCATATTATATATTAATTTGTGTGTGTGCATGTGTCCATGCATGTGTGCTTGTAGTGTGTGTGTGTGTGTGTGTGTGTGTGTGTGTGTGTGTGTGCTTGTGTCTGGATGTGTTCATCTTTAATACAAATCTGGAGTCTGAGGGTCTGAGAGCCAAGCAGTTTCTACGAGACTGGAAACAGGGACTATTCAGTCATTTATGAAATTCTTCCATCAGCATCTCATGAGCCCACAGGAACAGTGATGTGGTGTACAGGAGGAAGGCTGTGTGTGGGCCTGCACACCATTTCTTCTGGAGATTAAAAGTGAGTCTGAAATTTCCAGGGCTCCAGGACTTGGGAGAACAAGGCTCTTGTTCAGTTCCCCTATGAATGGCTGAGTGCTCAGTGCCGAGATGTGGCATCTGGATTGCCTAGGAACCCAACAAAGACTGGCTCGGTGGCTGCTTTGAGGTTTCAGTTCCATGTAGAATTTTAACCATGAAAAGGCACAGAGATTGGTTTCTTCTGAATTCTTAACTGAGCACCGAAAAGAGGGACAATTAGTGGAGCTCTGGACTGTTGTCTCCCACCGACTGTGTGGCTGCTGCTCTGAGCCTTAGGTCCCGCGAGCCTAGAGAGGTGCCCATCCCAGCCTCCTCTGGCTCCAGTGTTCAGAAAGGCAGCTCAGACTCAGTACCCTGAGAGTGGAGAGAGCGTTCCTCAGAAGAGGATGCTCTCTCTGCTGGGTACAGAGGGTCTTTACTCCATATGTAGCCTGTTGGACTTCTTATCCATCAAATGTCTTAATCTATAAAATGGAAAACTATTGCCTGAATTTAAGACCCATTTTTAGGTGACGTGACACAGTCACGGCTAGTCTCCTTGCTCCCTTTCCGCTGCTATAATCAAATGTCTAAGGCCGGGTAATACACAAAGAAAAGTTTATTTGACTCAGAGTTCTAAGGTCCACTGGCATTTGTTTGGGTCTGGTGAGGGCCTCGTGGTGGATGACATCACAGTAGTTGGAGTGTCCGGAGCTCATGTGAGGATGGTCAGATGCTGGAGGACAGGGCACAGGGTGGTGGTGGGACCACTCTAGCCGTCTTATAACACTCATACTAGTGGGAATTAGCCAGGTTCCATGAGAACTGCATGAACCCATTCTGATGCTGATACGGCCAGAGATCTGAAAACCTGCTCTTGGGCCCCACTTAAGATCTGACTACCTCCTGTCCTTGCTACCCTGAGACCCAAGCTTCTTGTTCAGGAGTCCTCTGGGGAGAAACATGGAAGTCATAATGAATGGCGTTTGCCCGAGAGTGAGAGGTAATGACAGGTGTTGAAGAGCATTCCTATCCTCCCCAGACCACTTTGCCTTTTATTGTACACATTGCCCTCTGCCTGTCTGTCAAAGTCTCCTCACCCCCTCCTCTGACGGAGCAAGGCTCCATGGTCAAGCCATGTCTCGATCTTCCTTAGGAAGACAGGTGATTGCAGAGATACAGGTATGCTGCGGAATATTAGTTTACCCTGTGTGAAGATGTGTCACTGTGATTGGTTTAATGAAGAGCAATATGGCCAATAGCTAGGCAGGAGAGACGGGGTGGGACTTCCGGGCAAAGAGAGAGAACTGAGAAGAAGAGAAGTGAGGAGATGCCAGCGAGACACTGAAGAGGCTGAACATATGCTATTGAGTAGAGGTAACCGAGCCAGGTGGCAGAACATATATAATAAAATCAGCTTAAGTTTTCAGAGCTAGTTGGGAAAAAGCCTAAACTAAGGCCAAGTTTCATAATTAATAATTAGTCTTCATGTCATTATTTGTGAGCTGGCGGCCAAAAGGAAAGTCAACTACACAGGTAGATGATGGAAATCCAGTAGATAGCACAGGCCTGGTCCCCAGAAGCCGCTGAACCAAGCGATTCCTTCACCACCACCTGGAAAGTGAGCAGGAAATGAACATCTTCACAGGTAAGGCCCCTCCCACCAGGACACGTGACCCTGTGCCGTGAACTCAGTGGGTCCTTCCAGCCTCTGCCTTGTCCACAGATGGTGAGGAAACGTGCTTGTCTGTGGGCTTCTGGTTGACGTGGCTAGGTTCCAATCCTTTCTTTGCCACTTTCACCAAAGGGTTATGGATTCCTCTAACCAACAGCTCACTTATACAATGATTTGTATGAAAGTATGTGTTTTAAATGGCCTAAGGATGACATGAACCGTGTAACACAGCCCACGATGAATTATTGGGGTTGGGGAGATGGCTCAGCAGTTAAGAGCACTGGCTGCCCTTACAAAGGACTTACATGGTGACTTAGCACCATCCATAACTTCAGTTCCAGGGAACCTGATGCCTTTTGCCTCCTTGAGTACCAAGTGTGCACATTGTGGTGTATAATACATTCAGGTAAACACTCATAGACATAAAATATTTAAAGGAATGTTTCTTTAAAAAAAAACAAAAAATTTTTGTTTTCAACAAACATTTGAATACATTTTTCATAAGTTATCTTTATTCAGTATGTAAATTTTGAGCTTTATATCTTGCATGACAATGCTGTAACTACCAATGAGCTGATTGCACATTGTCTCTGAAGATCACATTGCTTAGTCATGTCACGGTCATTTTTATGTAAGTACTCGATGATGTTCATGCGGTGAGGAAATTCCCTAGTGACACATATCTGGGGACTAGCCATTATTCAGTGATGTGTTAGTTAATTATTTATTTAGTTAGTTAGTTAGTCAGAACCTGAGCGACTTTACAGAAGTTCAGATTTGTCTCAACAGACGCAGCCTCTCATCACCACTCCAGGTTTAAACACTCAGCATTCAAACAGGGTGGAATCTTATTGCACTTCTAATGTGGAAGTACTATCTTCACATATTTTCGCCTATTACTTATAAACAGTAGCGTGTTTCAGCATGACGTCTTCATACACACATATGATGTATTTCAATCACGTTCACCCTCATCACACTGTCTTGTCCCTCTTGTCCCAACAGTCACCATTCCTCTTCCTAACTAGGTCACCTTCTATTTTCGTTTCACCTTTTCTTTTGGTGGTCTAATGATTTTAACTGAGGTTGTTTACAGGAGATTGGATGAGGGTTTATTTACAGGGTCATGGGCAACTGGCCAGCGGCTATACCCCTGAAGAAAATCTCCCTCTCCCAGTAGCCAGTAACAGCCTCTAGATCCCCAGGGAGGGGCGGGGCTTGGTGGCAGAATGTTGATGGGCCCAGTCAGGTCATGCACAGTTAAGTGCTGCTGCTGCCATGAATGCATGAGGGCAGCAGCCGTATCGTGCCTGGAAGACAGAACTCCACATCACCCCATCCTTCCTCCGGCTCTAGCATCCTTCCCCTCCTCCATGATGCTCTCTGGGACTGGGTGTGTGTGTGACATGGACCTCTCATCTGGGACTAAACATCAGCTGTCACTGTCCCTTATTCTCAACGCTGACCAATTATAAGACAGTAGGAGCTGCTACCCACTGCAAAGGGAAGCTCCTCCAGCCAGTGCCGACAGTGGCATGAGCTTATGGGCACACGCGTTTAAGTCTTTAGCAGGCCATTTAACACTCATATCATGGACATTAAGCCAAACAGCGGAAGTAGCTTTCCTATGATGTGTCCAGTCGCAGGTTTACATACTGGGTGTGGATTCCCTCCTGTGGCCCGAGTCACAGTTCCTCTCAGAAAGTGGTTGGCTGTCTCCGTAACAGTTATCCTACACTAGTGGGCACACCTCGCTCGTGATGTGCTCAGGTCAGTACCCCCAGCCGAGTGAGACTGTAGAGGACAGTTTTCCTCCAGTAGCCTGCACAGCACCTCTGGCAGTGTGAAATGCAGCCGGCAGGGAGGGCCTTCCAACTCCGTTCCCTGTAACCAGAGTGTGTGGGGGCCTTCAGCAATTTGGCCAGCACTGGAGGGCTGGAGAACCGGCTCAGTGGTTAAGAGCACTGGCTGCTCTTGTGGAGGACTTGGGTTTAGTTCCCAGGCCCCCACAGGGTGTCTCACAACTGCCTGTAACTCTTGTCTCAGGGGATCCAATGCTCTCTTCTGGACTCTGTGAGGACTGCACACACATGGTCCACATACATATATGCAGGCAAATGCTCATGCACGTAAAATATAAAAATAAAGTAATAATCTATTTCTCACGGGTCCAGGATCTCCCTGGCTGACTACTCACAGGAGGTAACACGACCTGTATGACTTGTGGGAGTGGCTTTGGGTAAGTATTTCCACAGTCTTCATGCGAACAGTTAGACTAGCTGAGAGTCCTACATCTTTCAGGCAACAGGAAATATCATGATGTAAAAATACATTCAGTCCAACTTCGAAAGTCCCCTTAGTCTATCACAGTCTCAGACTTATTTAAAAGTCTAAAGTTCAAGTCTCTTCTGAGATTCATGCAATATCTTAACTATAATCCTTTGTAAAATAAAAATAAAAAGCAGATCAAATGCTTCCAACATATGATACAGAACATATATTACCATTCCAAAACATAAGGAAGGGAGCATAGTAAGAAACTACTGAACCAAAGTAAGACTGAAAATCAGCTGAGAAATCTCTGAATTCTGTATTTACATGTCTGATATCAAAACGCTCTTCAAATCTCCAACTCCTTTCGGCTTTGTTGGCTGCAGCACACTTCTTTCTCTGGGACTGGTTCCATTCCCTGATATCCATTCCCTCAGCAGGCATCCCAGGGCTCTCAGGGAATGGAACCAGTCCCAGAAAAGGCTCTAAGCTTTTCCTTATTTCCTTTCCATAAACTGGAAACTTAGTTGGGTGGGATCTTGCCCTGAAGACGCCATTCCCTTTATTCAATTTCTTAACTTGTTTATCTCCTTGAACACAGGACTTTGCTCCATCCCACTTCCTGGTGCTCCTTTTCATTATAAATCTTCATTAGAGTCAACACTAGTAACCACACAACGGAGTCTACACTGGGTTGTTTTGAGATTTCCTCTGCCAAAGGAATTAATCCAAATCTCTTGACTTTAGCCTCAGACTAACTCTTCAGACAAGGGCAAAAGACCACATTTTTCATCAAAATATCACAAAACAATTTCTTTTCTGAAACCTCTTGAGTGAATCCTCCACCCCAGCCATTAAAACACTCTGAGCACTACTGTCTTCCTGGATCCTATCAGTGTGGTCCCTTAAGCAGCGCTTAAAGTGTTCAACTGCTTTCTAAACCATAGTCCCAAAGTCCATATTCCTTCAAACAAAAACATGCTCTGGCCTATCACAGCAATACCAGTTTCTGGTACCAATTTCTGTCTCAGTTAGGGTTTCTATTGCTGTGAAGAGGCAATATGACCATGACAACTCTTACAAAGAAAAGCACTTAATTGACAATTTCAGAGGTTCAGTCCATTATCTTCATGGTGGGGAGCATGGCAGACATGATGCTCAAGAAGTAGATGAGACCCCTACTTCTTGCAGGCAACAGGAAACGGTTTCTGATGCTGGGAGTAGCTTGAACCTAGACCTCAAAGCCCACTCCCACAGTGACACACTTCCTCCATCATGGACACACCCACTCCAAATAAGTCACACCTCCTAATAGCACCACGCCTTTGGGGGTCATTTCCTTTCAAACCGCAGCTGTAGGCACCAGGCTAGTAACCATTGTTTGCTTGTATGCGTGGTACTTTGGGGGGCCTCGGGAACAAGTCCTCAGGGAAGCTTTCAGGTCAGTTACAGCTCAGATCCTCAGGGCCCAGTGTCCCGAGTTCTTGGTGTCTTCAGAAATAGGAACTCACCTTCTACCTCTGGAGGCAGCCCAGGGCAACAGCAATCTCAAGCAATGTTCTGGGAGTCTCTTAGACAACTCCCACCAGCAACTGAAAAGAGTGCAGCTCACACCTAGTGTTGGGTTTGTGCTGTGTAGTCTTCAGCTCTTGTGGGGGGCACTGTCAGTCAAGATGAGATATTTTTTATTTAAACTGTATTATACATCTCTATGTGTACACAGATGTATGTGTATTATATGTAATTTTAGATAGATAATGATATGTCTTATGGCTTTCCCAGGCATCTTTATGTTGTTTCTGAAAACTTACTCCTACCCATGGTAAATAATTCCTTGGAAACACCCCCAATCAGGTGTTAGTTTCCATAACAGGGATTCTTCCCTTAGGACAGACTTCTGGGAATCTCACTGACAGGAAGGTTCATGTAGAAATTCTTAAGCTATTTTCACATTGCCACATGGGCTGCAGAGAGCTATTTACATAAAGAGCGCCCCAAAGGCGTTATCTAATGCTTGGATTCTGCTCACTTTGGTCTTCCGGATGGAGTTCTGCACTAGTTTGCTTCCTCAACTGTAATAAACACAACCCCTGGACCAAAAGCAACTTGGGGAGGAAAGTGTTTATTTGGCTGATGTATTCTAAGGCACAGTCCATTGAAATCGAGACAGGAACCTGGAGGCAGAGCTAAAGCAGAGACCGTGGAGGGGTGCTGCTTACTGGCTTTCTCCTCATGGCTTGCTCAGTTTGCTTTCTTAAAGAACCCAAGACCACTTGCCCAGATACACAACCCATACACTTGCCCAGATACACAACCTACACAGTTGCCCAGATACACAACCCACACACTTGCCCAGGTACACAACCCACACACTTGCCCAGGTACACAACCCAGGTGCACCACCCACAGCAGGATAGGCCTTCCCACATCAATAAAAACAATTACTCCACAGGTTTGCTCACAGGTCTATCTGATGGAGGCTCTTCTCTGTTGAAGTTCTCTCTTCCCAGGTGTGGTGGTTCCAGTGAAAATGGCTCCCATGTGCTCATAGGGAGTGGCACTATTAGTAGGGGTGGCCTTGTTGGAGGAAGTGTGCCACTGGGGCAGGGCTGGCAGGCAGAGAGAATAAACAGGAGGGGAAACCTAGGCTTGAGAAGAAGAATGAGAGGAGAGTGAGGAGCAAGAAAAGGAGGCGACTAAGA